TGTATCTAATGACAGAGTAGCTAACGGTACCATTAATGGCAATAATGGTCCTAATGCAGTTAATAGTACTTCATCATTCAATGTATCGGGTTAGTCATTTAATGTCATTATTACAATCAAGGTCATTATTTCCAGTATCTGATACTCCAACTGGTTTTTCTACTACAAGATTAAGTACTGGTTTAGCTCATGTAGGACTCTCCTGGTCTATTATATCAGGAGCTACTGGTTATGAGGTCTACTATCAACTGTCTAGTATTACTCCTGTTAGTGTAGGCACTACTGCTTCAACAACAATCAATATAACATCAGGATTGATTCGAGGGATTACATACACTTTCTATGTAGTATCTTATGGATCAGCTTATCTACCTAGTTGTAATGCTTCAGTTATGATAACATTTAGTTAGTAAATTGACTGAATTAAAATTACTTATACTATATGTTAACACATACATGTATGCATTCTTTTTAGGTGATCCAGTGGTTACTGACTTTATAGCTACATTGATTACAAATTCTACCATTACCTTAGCATGGAGTCCACCAACTGCTGTAGTACCAGTTAGTTATAATGTTGTTAGGGATTGTAGGAGAGTATGTGAATCATTGAAAACTGGTCATACTAAAACATCAGTTTCATCACCACATACTTCAACTGGTATACCTCCTTACAGTCAATGTACCTTTGATCTTCTTGGAGTATATGACGTTACAGCTGATTTGACTACGGCTTATTCAGCTGAAACACTTTCAGCTAGTAAGATAATAATTGCTGTGGATACTTATTTGTTATTTACTTATTTTATTACCAATCTAGCCCCTACTGCACCAGTGGGTGATATTATACTCTCATCAGTAGAGTCAGTGTCAATGACTGTCTCATGGGGTGAAGTATCTTGCAATGGAAGGAATGGACCAATCACTGGATACTACCTCACATACACTAACATCACTTCAAACACTAGTTATACTGTTAATATCACTGGAGGAGACAACAGAATGTATAATCTCACAGGATTAATACCATATACTAACTATACTGTGAGTATAATACCTTATAATTATAATATGAATGGACCAGCTAGACAAGAAATACAATTAACTGCTGAATCAAGTAAGTCAATGAGATATTGATGAGTTTAACATGATCTTAACACAGTTCCTGGTGTGATAACTGATCTAATACTTGCAAGGCCACCAACTGAAATAATTATTACATGGAATCCTCCTACAACACCTAATGGTATCATTACAGTATATGAGATAAAATATAGAGAGTCTACCAGTACTGGTCCATACAATATAACTAACACTACTAACACTTATTACAGTATAGTAGGATTGATACCTAATACTAGTTATACTATTGGAGTGAGAGCATATACTAGTATTGGACCAGGAGAATGGACTCATAGAGAATACACTACTATTGAAATACGTAAGAAATTATTGAAAATACTATGATGATAATGTTTTAAAATTTTTAGCTGTCATTGAAACCTTTTCTATAACAAAGCTCAATTCTACAGCAGTGAGGGCTGAGTGGAGTTTTGTTTCTGGAGCTAGTCATTATACTGTCTATTATGAGTCAACCAGTAGCTCCATAAGAAAGAAGAGACAAGTAGAGACAGGAATGAGAGTATTCCCAGGTGGTACTACTGAAGGTCTAATAGGAGGATTAGATCCTAATCTAAACTACTTGTTCTCTATATCTACATCATTTACTGTAAATGGAATCATTTATGAAGGAGAGAGGACTCAACCAATACCACCAGGTAATGCTAGTCAATGATAAATATGTCCAGTACTACTGTGATATCAAAATTAGGATCAAGTGATTTTATCGTTTAATAATGTGATATTACTAAATGAATAGGTACTCCTGAAATGCCTACTACTACTATTACTATTGAAGGCTCAGTGACTATTGTTTTCATAGCAGCTGGAGCCATTGTACCATTACTACTGATAGTCATAATAATTGTAATTATCATTGTAGTTGTA